AATCCCCACCCTAACCCCTAAACCCTAAACCCTAAACCCTTCTCTGATGTTTCGGCTATGCCAGGCCCTGTGTTCAGTCTCTCTCCCACTGCGAGCTTGGACTGTACAAAACTTACTGGCTGCCTGGTTCTTAGTGGCCGGGTTTAGGGTTTAGGGTTTTGGGTTTTAGGGTTTAGGGTTTAGGTTCTTAGTGGCCAATAAGGGAACATAATCCCTATAATGATGTACTCTCATCTTCAATACCCCTGAGCATCTAAGGATTCACATTTGAAGGAATTTGGGCCCAAAGACCATACTATGTAGGGTTTTTAGGTGATTTTGATGCTTAGGGTACTAGACACCTGTAAGTTTTAGCGAAAGATTTTGTGAGCACCAGGTGTGCATTAGGCAGCCAGAGTGGCTTGGCCTTCAGACTAACCGGATAATTCAGGTATATAGTCCCGCCTTAAGTAGATAGAATATGGCTTTGGGTATATTATAATAAGATCCCATATACCCCATATTCTATCTACTTAAGGGGGACTATAGGTGTTTCTGAGCTGAGTGCTTAGGGCTTAGAGGTCTGTCTCAACTAGCTGAACCTCACTGTTACTCAGAACTACAGACATGAAATGTTGGGAATTCTCGGGCGCTAGAGACCATAGCACAAATTCATTCCTTGATTCCATACAAACCACCGGTAAGCCCTGGCCTTCAAGGATTCCAGCCCCTACTCAAACTTTGACTCCGAACCCTTTGAGCCCTTCCTTTTCCAAAGCCTAAATGAGCTACTGTCTAAACTCCTAGTATCCCCCTTAATAACCCCTATAATAGTCCCCTATATAATCCCCTATATATTCCCCTTTAAGGAGTTTAGACTATGGCTCAAATGGCACTATGCGCCCTGGTCTCTGCATCCAATTCTTTCAACTGCAGGCTAAAAGGTCTCCATGATGCCTCTTTTTCAGGAAAATATGAGCTACAGCCACTATTTCACATATAAATTATGGACATGGGCCCGGACCTAAGAGGGTTGCCCACGTCCACCAGTGAGGGTCCCTTAATAAGCCTAAGATCGACAGTAGCTCAGTTGCTTAATGAAAGCACTTCTTACAACAGGCGTAACGGTTCCTTAAACGATAGCTGCAACAGCCGTTAATTACTGGAACAAGTTAACTACGGTCAAATACATTTAATGCCTGGCCTTACGCCCCTGCCAAGTACCGGAGACTATCCAGGGGCGGGGCTCCTCCTCCTGCGTGGTTCGAACCTGGCATGCCGATAGGGAAGTGCAACACGAGAAGGTACACGCCAGCCCTACAGGGTTCATAGGCATATAAATATCCCTAGGGATCCAAATAGCCCCAAGTATTGACCCGATAGAGAATCAAACGGAAAAGCAAGTGGAACATGGCATGAAAAGTTGGAGTTTATAGTGATGTATAGGGATCCAAAAAGCCAAATGTAGGGAACATCTTAGGGCCAAACGTAGGTAGTATTTGTATACTTGGTTCCCTATATAGCCCCTTTATGACCCGAGTTTCCATTTCATTTTCCTTTTATCCATTTAGATTCTCCATTATAGGCACTGTTTCTATACTTGGATCCTTAGGGTTAAGGGTTCTACCTTGAAGTTATGTTCGGCTGCAGTCCAATATTGCAAAGCTCCAAAAGGAATGTAACTGCCCGGAGCATGAAACTTCACCTGAACCTCCCAGATGCTCATAACAATAGCCTTTAACCCCCTCCCCAAAATGGGTATTAGGGCTATTACTATGGGTATTGGGGAGAGCTTATAAGGGGCACGCTATACAGACACATTTGGGGCCATTCGCGGACAGGCTTTGAGAAACTCATCCTAGACCGCGAAACCCGACACATAACCCCTATTTCGCCCCTGTATATCGGTGCATAATTGTTGTATATCCCTTACCACGCCCCCTTAAAGGAACCCCCTAATCTGAGGCGTCAGCGGAGCTTTCCTTCTTTCGCATCCTTTTCGGCCCTCGAAGGCAGCAGACCAGGGCGCGGGTCTCGCCGTACCTCAGCACATGGCTGGGGTTCAGGGTTGATAGGGTTCAGGGTTGATAGGGTTTAGGGCTTAGGGTTTACAGGGTTTGTGGTGTAGGGTTGATAGGGTTCAGGGTTTAGGGTTGATAGGGTTTAGGGCTTGGGTTTACAGGGTTTGGGGTTTAGGCTGAGAATTTGACAGCAGAGGCCTAACTATGATCTAGAGGTGGTTGCAGGAAGCATATAGGGTTTAGGACTTTGTGTTTAGGATGAAGGGGTAAGCGGTAAGGGGTTCCCCTACCATGCGCCCTGCTCGACCCCACGAAGAACTAAGTGGAGAAAAATGAAAAATGGGTACCTGAAAATGATAAGGACACCGGGTTCATGTAGGGTTTCCATACGGGGTGTAGGGTGGCGGTCCTAAAAAGGAAACTAGACCAGTCACATAAGAAGTGCAAATGAGTTGTGTGGGATCTGTTCAGTGCTTCAGCAGCACCCTGCGTAAAACTAACATGCAAACTCGTATAAGCCTATGTTGCAAGGACAATGGTCTTTGTGGGACACTGTTGGACTTCCATGTTTCTTTGGTGGAAGGCAGGGTAAAGGTTTCAGGGTAAAATTAGTGGCCTCTTACTCAGAATGGAATGTTCAACGGTTCAGGCGTTGTCAGTAGGGGATGAAGATCTGGAAAAGAACATAGAGAGTACTACAGGGCTTGCAGTCTAGGGCTGCGTGCCCCTAACATGAGTATTTTTTTTCGTGGTTGAACCTAGTAAGATAATATTCCTTATATATCATACTACACCCCAAGAGGAGGATATAATCTTACTCTATAATGAGACCGTAATACCCCCAAATAAAATACTACCCACATGTGGTTCGGGAGACTTGCCTTAAGAGAAGATGGCTTCTAGAGCACGCAAGGATGCGTCTTGCGACTCATGCGCCCTTGCACAGCCGTGAACGCCTATAGTCCACCTTAACTAGATAGAATATGGGGCATATGGGTATCTTATTCTAATATACCCAAAGCCATATTCTATCTACTTAGGGGAAGAAGCGCCGATCTGGGAGACTGCTTGAGCCTAAGGCTCCCCCAATAAAACATTGAACATAGTAGGACAACCCACATCTTGGGAAACTCTTATGCAGGTCCTCAAAAAAGCGCATCCGAACCAAGACGTCAGATATGTGGGTATTGTAAGGAAATTGTCGGATCGCTGTGACCCCTAAACCCTAAAGGGGCTCGCAAGGAGAGACCACCAATTTTGCGAAATCCCCGCAGGGTCCTTGTAGAATTATGGTATAGGGAATTCAAATGGACCACAAAATTCTTTGGCCAATTTTTCACGCTTTTCCATCAATATAGCTCAGGGGTTAGGGATGACCATAATAGTAGATGTTATCCATCCCCTCTCGGTTTTAGATTATACTACGGGACCGAATATTGAAGGGTACCAAGATTGAATTAGGACCCTGATGTTGGAAACTACCCATAGAAACACTAAAACCCTAATTCCTAAACCATAACCCCTAAGCCTTAATCCCTAAATTTAAGCCCACCCTAAACCTTACTCCCTAATCCCAGATTGCGTCAAGCCAACCCAGCCCAGGCCAAGCTCCAAGCACCAGAGGCGCACGCCGAAAGTCCTGGCCCAGAGGATGCATCACCCGCAACTTCTACCAGGGGCTTAGGGTTTAGGGTGTGGGGGTTTAGGGGTTTAGAGTTTAGGGGTTTAGGGTTGTATAGGGTTATAGGTCTACTATAACAACGCCTAGAACAACAAGAGCAATGAAATAGCTTTTAGCGTTATATGAGGGTTATACAGGATTGTAGGTATATTTTGGTAATAATGAAAGGTATGCCATTAGTAATATAAGGGGCATATAGGGTCATAAGTACCCCCTCTATCCCCCCCCCCCTTGCAGACACGCCTCACCCGGCCACCCCCCCCCCCACGCCATGGTGGGTGGCCTAGTCCAGCCTGACCATCCCCGATGAAATTTCAGCCTCGCCCAAGGTTTGAGGCTTTGGGAGTACGCGGCCGGGCGCATTTTTTGTTCCTAACAACATGTGTGAAGGGTTTTTGCGGCTTCGGAGCTGGAGGCCCCTGGAGGCCCCTTGGAGGCCCCTTGAGGCCCCAGGCCCCTGGAGCATGCATGAAGCGTAACCTCTACAGACCCTACTTTAGACTATGGCTTACAATATATACTATGTCTTATTTATGGGTTTTGCGTTTTGGGTACACTTAATTGGGATTTGCGGTGGATTACGACAAGAGCACTTTTGCGAGATACGAGGGGTTTTAGCTACCGTTCTGTGGCTAGATCCCAATATACATTTAGACTATTGGTCGAGTGCTTGTGGACACCAGAAGCTTTTCAGGCTCCGAATGCCATACACTAAAAACTATTTTGGACCT